AGAGACTACCAGTAAATCAGCAAGTAGTATGATACGTATTCTTCCAATTTCCTTTAAAGTGATGAAGGAATGATAGAAGAATTGTCCCACAATCATGTGAGCAGAGCTGACGCTTCCATTCAATTTCACATAGCCTTACTTTACTAAAAAGTTGTTCTCATCCAGGCACCAGTGGACTGCCGTTTCGACCTCACATCGGTCTTATCAACGCCCCAAGCGGGAGTCGAACCGTGACGTTAACCACTCGGCCACATTACCACGAGTGCTCTTGTGTAACAGGGCAGGTGTGAATTTCCAGGAAGGCTAGGCCTTTTGCCATATCATATTCTTTTTGGTAGGAGTGTCGATGAAGCAAACCTATTTTTGCTATAACAATCGACTACACTACTTATATTTCATATGTAAGTAGAGTTCCGAGACCGTTTGACAGAAAGTTAAAAGGATTGGCCTCACTTGTCGCTTTGACGATACGTCTGGGAATGCAGTTAATGCATGTTCCAACGCTGGGAATCATCAGAACTGCAATAGCAGACGACCTCGGACAAGGTGCGTCCAAAACGAGGTCAGATCACTCGTAAACATCGAAAGAAGACGGCAACCAAGACAAACGCCACAACATCTTGGTCTTTATATTTGCGACTATTTAATTAATTTTTGTGAAATTTACAAATGGCGAAAAGAATGGGTATTCAGCAGCAGATGAAAGAGCCAAATCGCGAGCAGAATAGGGCTTCATTAAGCGTCTCCATCGCATAATCGAGCACATCGTCCAATTTTGCGTTTTTATTTGATTCATAATTCGAAATGTTGCTGTCTAATAGAAGTGTTCTTCTAACTTTTCTGTCACAGAGTAATATTGGAGGAAGTAATTTTTGTAAAACTTACGAAAACACCGATCCTTGGGCAAAATTATTTATCGTCTTCTTGATGCGTGAACGAGAGCAGAATAAACTTGCGCGAATATCGGCCAAAAATGTCGTGTTCATTCCACAATTGCTAGCCTAAAATGAGTAAATCCGCTTGACGTCTCTCCTAAGTATATATTGCCGGTAGAAACAGGTTGAAAGATAGACAAAAGTTGATTGATTTAGACGTATGCCATAGTGATGCCAATTATTATGTATGCTATTATGCATGCAGTGATCAGAGTAAGAGGTGGATAGGGTTGGAGTCATTATGCA